TTTCCTCAAGATTTTAGCTCTAATGATAGAACCAAAACCCTCAAATTTTATAATGAAAAATTCTTCACAACTTCTCGGTTTCACCCAAGAAATCTCAATAATTGACAATAATCTATTCCACAAGAGTGAAGATATCGGACAATAAAAAATAAATAATTTGTGCACTCTCTCACATATTTGCACACAATGTGGATGAAGTCAAATCAATGGCCTTTTTATTGGAATCATGTCATTGGCGTTGTGTTTCTTATGTGCAAGCAACCATGCAAATACATAGAAGGTGGCTTGGGCTTCCAAATCATTTTTAAGGACTCAAAAATTGGAAGATTAGGGCTATCAATCAATGAATCAAAGAAAGATTTGCAATAGAAATCTCCCACATAAGAAAGAAGCCAACATCTTTTATCTAACAAAGGTTGATCCAAAGCAATGTTATGAAAAATGGATAAGAAAGAGGCTAACTCAACAATTTCTCTATCATGCAAACTCCTAAAGATACTAAAATTCTAAGAAACCGAGTAAGAATATGATGTTACCATACTTGCAATCTATGAAGCACGGACACTCAATTTTGGCTCAAGTATCTGTGTCCGACACGTCTGGGACACGGACACGTGTCAGACACGTTAATTAGAGTGTCCAATTTTTTTTTTAATTTTTTGAATTCAGACATGGAGCGAACATGTTTAAGGGTCATTTAGTAATTTTAAAATTAAAACATGGGGTCTTTTTTATAATTATTTAAAAGTGATAGGGCTAGAAAATAAAAGGCCCAAAGATTAGGAATTAAAACATAAATATATATATTTCTTATATTTCTCTATGTTCTCATAGTCGACGAAGAAAAAAAATAAAGAAAACTCCGACGACGTCTAGGCTTCTTTGTCACTCCGGAGACTTTGGTTCACTCCGGCAACTTAGGTTCTCTCCAGCAAGTCAAGCTTCGAGATTCCTCATTTTCTTGGGTAATTTTTCAACAACCAGCACATCACAGGTAACCCTCAGGGCGTCTCCCCTATCTTTAGGGCTTCTCCACTATCTTCAAGTAACCTTCAGCGAAGAAAATGTGATTCTCATCTATCTTTAGGACTTCTCCTGTTAGGGTTTTCAATTAGGGTTTAACAGGTTTTAAACCCTAACAGAAAAAAGCAAAATTGACATTTTTTTTCATTCTATTTTTTGGCTGCTATTTTTTTTTTCTACCTAATATTTTTTTGGCAAAGTCTGTCTGCTATTTTTTTTTTCATGTCTTTTGTTGTTGCAACTCTGTTGTTTTTGCTGCTGCCTGCTGATTTTGCTGCTGTTTTTTTTCTATATGAGCTGCTGCAAATCTGTTGTTTTACTTGTATGCTAATTTTTTTTTCTGTTGTTGTAATTTCTGTTTTTCTTTTTATTTTTCTGGCCTTATTTAGAATTGAAGAAAATGAGTTCTACGGGAGCTAGCAGTGCATCGTCTACTGAAGAAGACATAAGTAAACCTCTTTGAAAGTACGTTACAAGATTCAAGAAGTTGAGTGATGGTGGGGGAAATATTTCTTGGCAATGTAATTTTTGCAATCAAACTAAGAAAAGCTCATACATAAGAGTACGAGCTTATTTATTGAAATTGCTTGATTATGGAATTGGAGCATGTCATAAAGTTACAAGGCAAGATATTATAGATATGCAAAAATTAGAGGATGAAGCCAAGGAAAGTTGCGCTAAAGAAAGTACCATTGCCTCCTAGTGTCTCATTTGGGGATCATTTGGATAGCTTTGACGAAGAGGGTTATGAATCAAAGAAAGGAAAGGCGACTAGAAGCGGAAGTACTTCGGCTATTGAAAAGGCATTCAACTTGAAGACGCGTGATCATTTAAATACACTTATTGCTAGAATGTTCTACTCCAGAGGCTTACCCTTTCACCTTGCAAGGAATCCATATTTTGTTAGTGCTTTTTCATTTGTCGCATCTAATCCTTTTCCGGGTTATTTGCCACCGAGGTATAATTCTTTGAGGACTACTTTACTCCAATAAGAACATGCTAATATTAAGAGATTGCTACAACCCATTAAAAGCACATGGAAAGAAAAAGGTGTGAGCATTGTGAGTGATGGATGGAGTGACTCACAAAGGAGACCCTTAATTAATTTTATGGTCGTGACAGAAGGTGGGCCTATGTTCCTCAAATTTGTGGATTGTTCGGGTGAAACTAAAGATAAGTTCTTTATTTTCAATTTGATGAAAGAAGTAATTCATGATGTGGGCCCTGATAATGTGATTCAAGTGATTACCGATAATGCTAAGAATTGTTCGAGGGCGGGTCATCTCATTGAAGGGATATATCCTAATATTGTTTGGACACCATGTGCGGTTCACACACTTAACCTTGCTTTGCAAAATATTTGTGCGGCAAAAAATATTGAAAATAATCAAGTAACCTTTGATGAATGTTCTTGGATTATGGATATTGCGGGTGATATTGTGTTTATTAAGGCTTTCATCATGAATCACTCTATGAGATTGGCAATGTTCAATGAATTTGTCCCTTTGAAATTGCTTTCTATTGCAAGTACACGTTTTGCCTCGGTACTTGTAATGCTTAAAAGATTTAAACTCATAAAAGGTTCTCTTCAAGCCATGGTTATTAGTGAGAGGTGAAGCAACTATAGAGAAGATGATGTGGAGAAAACTAAGTTTGTGAAAGAAAAGGTGTTGGATGACATTTGGTGGGACTCTATTGATTACATACTTGCATTTACAACTCCTATATATGATATGCTTAGGGCTTGTGATACCGAAAAGCCTTGTCTTCATTTGGTATATGACATGTGGGATACAATGAAAGAAAAAGTAAGGATTTTAATATATAGGCATGAAGGAAAGCTGGTGGAAGAGTCATCCACGTTTTATGATGTGGTGCACAAAATTCTTGTTGATCGTTGGAATAAAAATAACACCCCCCTCCATTGCCTTGCCCATTCATTGAATCCAAGGTGATTTCTAATTCTTAAACTTTTTCCCCCCTCTTAATCATGCACTATTTCTTACTTCTTTCTTCTTTTCTCTTATTTAAGGTACTATAGTGATCAATGGCTTCATGAGGATCCTATTCGAGTTCCCCTGCACAAAGATATAGAGGTTTCTCTAGAAAGAGTGAAATGCATAAAAAAATATTTTTCTAATCCAAAGGATTGTGCAAAGGTACATGAGGAATTTGGCAATTTCTCAACGAAGTCCAGAGAGTTTGGGGATATTGACTCAATCCATGATCGCTATGGAATGGACCCTAAAAATTGGTGGGTTTCCTATAGGACAAGTGCACCTTTGCTTCAAAGTTTAGCTTTGAAACTACTTTTGCAACCTTCATCTTCATCACGTTGTGAGAGAAATTGGAGTATTTATTCTTTTGTGCACTCCGTTTGAAGGAATAAGATGACACCAAAGCATGCCAAAGACTTGGTCTTCATTCATAGCAATCTTCGTCTTCTATCAAGAAGAACTCCACAATATATACAAGGCGAAACTAAGATGTGGGATATTGTCGGAGATACTTTTGATTCATTTCAAGATGTAGGACAGCTTGAGATTGCACAACTTTCACTTGATGAACCGGAGTTGGAGGCCATGGTCTTTAGTGAAGATGGTAATAGAGGAGATAGTGGTGCCCGTGGTGGTCGTGGTAGTTGTAGTGGACCTAGTGGTGGTGGGTCAATTGAAGTTTAATGATCTCGATCAAATGAGACCTTTTGTTTGAATAGGATAAACAATGTTTTTATTTTTGGTATATTTGTAAAGATTGCTAGTGTTAGATGCTAACTATTTTGATGTAAAAAAGTTGAAATGTGAATTTTGGATGATGATTAAATGGAACAAAAAAACTTTTTGTTATGCTCACTGTTATTTAACGACTTTGCTATTTAGTGATAATGTGGTGGTTTGGTTATTTTAATATCTAATTTGATATAAAATGTTGGGTTTGAATTATATTGGCTTATAAAATATATTTATTCAACGTGTCCTCGACGGGTCCATGTCCTACTTTTTTGAAAAATTACGTATGTATGTGTCCGTGTCCGTGCTTCATAGCTTGCAATGGAAGAATTTTTGCCCTTGTCAATCAATACAACCAAGGAAACATACAAGCAAAAGAAGACTCACTCACCAACCCACACATCCTCCCAAAATCGAATTTTCTCTCCATTGTCCACCAAAAAAAATAAGCAAAATATGGATCTCCTCTCTAAATATTTTCTCAAAACAATCGCATTGTCCACACCCAACCTAATATTTTTAATGAAACAACTTAAACCTCAAGAAATCAATTGTCAAGGACTACGAAACAAATCCCTTGTCACCACATTTGAGTCCCATCCAGATTCAGTATTACAAACTGTCAATATGTTGCATCAAATAGCTCTACAAAAATATTCTTTTAATTGGGTTGGGGGTTGACAGTGGTGGTTGGGATTTTTTTTTTTTGGGGGTGCAGGGTTGGGGAGGGGTTCATCACTTCATTGTATCTCCTCAACAACTCAAAAGAAACACCTTCATGTTCTAAATCATTATATGAGAGGACAAATAGAACCAAAGTGGAAAAGTTACATTGGGATGTAATTCCCATGTAACATAGTATTTCAACATGATCACAACAGTTACTATTCTGCTGTTAGCGTGGATGTTTTGACACAAGGGATTTGGCAACAACCTTCTACTACACCCTTTTCATTGCCTAGCCTACCAAAGAGGATAATAAATGTCTAAAAAAAGAGTCATGCAGACAAGATTGCAAAACAACTTAGCATGCAGAAAACAAAATGATCAGGTCTCCGTAAAATGGATTAATGGGAATTATTTTAGTAAAATCTTAGACCATAAGGGTGATGTAAATTCAAGCTTCAGTGTCTTCAGGTTCTTCATTGTAGTTGGTCTGTGTTTTCATACTATTTTTGGTGTGTGAAAACATTCTAGCAATATTTCATTAAGTGTACGACCACTTCTAATTTGGTTTACAGTAATGGATTATGACTCTCGTGGCCATGGGCTTAAGTCAGCTAAATCCATTAAGGTGGTAAACAGCAATACGCATACATCGATAACATAAACAGTTGCAGGATCCTCTACCATGCAGCATCAAAGGGGCAATCAATACAGAAAAAAAATACACGTGTGTGCGCTGCTGCTCGTTAAGTTATTAACACATGTACCAAAAGATTCAAGTTTGAGATCCACAGTCGCTGAAGACATATTTAACTGGAAAAGGAGTTATCAAAATATTCGTTCAGATGATAGAAAATTAAGAGCTAGATCATTTCATCAAACTCGTATATCTTCTAGGGTAAAATTAAATGTTCAAACAATAGCAGTCATTCAAATCAAATGATATAAGGCAAAGTAAAAGATATCATTTTCAAGCAGTTTGAGAATACCCTTCAGTTCAATAAAAATCAAATACCTCTTGATGTCCTCCACCGCTTGTTTTCGGCGTTGTATCTGAAGTTCTAGTATGTGAACTAGTGTGGCTCTAGCCTGCACCAGAAAAAGATTGAAAACTTTCAAATGCAAAAACGTACATAATGAGATGGTTTCTCCGAAAGACAGCAAGTACAAAGGATACTCGCATTTCACAAGGGAAACCCACCTGGTGGGGACGCAATGAATTCAGAAGATGATGCAAGTTCTTGAATATAAGAGATATGTCTTCTACTCTCCTTGCATATTGTGATGGCCGCTCTATGAGAACATCAGCTAGCTCCAATATATGCAGCTGTAATTCTCTGTTTAGTGACCTCAGTACCTTCTTGAAATCTAAAAGATATTAAAACATTAACACACATAAGTAAAACAAGCAGTTATCCATCCATAGTTCTCCCATGCGAACTTCATGAAGAGTCAATATCTAATGAACTACAAGATAAACAAGGTCCATGCCTTGACATTGAGCAAAGTTGCTTGAGGTTGAGGTCACACTAAAACTCCAGTAACAGCACAAAGTGTAAAAGAGGGGCAAATTGATAGTCCATAGATGGGATACGAAAAGATGATGAAACTGCAGTAAAACACACCTCTATAGTTTTCTGAGTGGAAAAAAACTCGCATAACGTCATGCTGATTAAACATAATTTATCAGCAGCCTTTAAACTCTCTTTTTTTTTTAACATTCATCTAATCTCTCGCAGATCACAAAGAGATTTTCTGAAAACCACATCCTTTGAAACTAAATATAAAAATCTAATAACAGAACCAGCAATTAACATAGTTATATGGCTACATATTGATACAATTTATCTGGGTATAGAAGCTTAAAAGAAACTGAAATTATTAGCCACACTACAAAATTCGAGCAGGGACAAATAAAAAATGCTATTCCTATTTTAATGCGGGAAGCATTGTTAAGAGTATATATGAAATAGCATACCAAGATTTGGTCCTTTTGAGTACAACTGGCGAACACCCTGCTCTTCTAAACTGGGAAGCACATCATCAGTCTAAATCATAAAACAACAATAATATCACCACATATAGACACAGATCAAACATTATGGAATTGTTCAAGTAATATAAAAATAATTCACAAACAGGGTTTTTTTTTCCTTTTTATTCAATTTCAGTTGGGCATTACAGCTAAGTTATATTCAGATCATAGCTGTATTGCTACTTCAATGCATACCAAAAAATCCAAACTCAATTTCAATAAATGGGTGTAGACTAGGTACTGTACCATGTAAAACTCTAAAATCTCAGTAGTTAAAATCCAATCATTCCGCTTGTTCATCACGAAAAGAAAATCAACTTAAACCTAACCCTAACTTCACATTCTTCACTACAACATTTTTCATTGAATTAGAACATAAATACACAGAGACAGAGAGAGAGACAGAGAAATCTGGATCATACGGTGTAGTTGGAGCCGAAGAGGACGTAGGTGCCTTGGATAGGAGGGGGAGGCTCCGGGGCTGAACTAGGGTTTTGAAGGTAGTTTTTGTACAGCCTGTAATACGGTGGCGGTGGTGGGTATGTCGCCGTTGCCATTGCTACAAGTCGAGATCGAGAGAATGAGCTGAGTTGAGTCGGTCACCACTAGCCGTCTATTTAGTCCACAAGGAAAAAGGAAAATCACAACGGTCTATTTGGTAAGCAAAAAGATTTTTTTTTTTTTTGGTCAGATAAGCATAAAAATAAAAAAAAGTTTTTCGCAATAAAAAAAAGATTTAAATTAAAAATAGTGTAAAATTAAAGTGTTAATTGCAAATTGTAACCTGAAAATTTATTTTAATCTCAATTTATACTCTCAAATATTAAAATTTTAATTTACACCTTCAAAGATATAAATTTATAACAATGAACATCTAAAATTAATAATCGTCGTTTAAAATTAAATAGATAAATTATATTTAGATCTCCTCATACTTGAATAAACAGTTAAATAAATCTATAACGGATTAGGTCAGATTCAAGTTAAATCAGGTTAACTTAATTAAAATATATGGGTTAATTAGGTTTCCGATATGCCTTTTTTTTTGGATTTAAGCATATTGACCCATTTTTTCTCACCGATCCATTTAATTTTGTATTTAATTTGTGTCGCATTATTGTATCGGGTCGGAAATTGTCATTAGTCCAGCCTGAAGTCAAAAAAGTGACCCCATAAATCAGGGGTATATTTGTCATTTAAATACTACCGACTTCACGACATATACCCTCGCCGTTAAAGACCCATTCAAACAAGAATGAGGTTGTATTTGCAATCAGACAGAGACCGTTAGAAACAGTTATGATAAATAACAGCTTCACAAATCTGGGTTTCCTCCATTTTTGACGAATAAATTGTTTCAGGGGGCTTGAAAGAGTTTGGAGACAAAGCTAAAGTGAGAGGTATTTCAGCTAGAAAAAAAACTGATCTCAACTCATTTTCTCTTTTCCGAAATATTTTCATCTGCATTTCATGATCATTTGGGTTTGACCTATAGATACATTATATTCTTTACCCTTTTTGGTAGTTTTATCTCTCTATTTGTAAAATTGAATTCTGATTCTAACATGGGTATTGGGTTTTTATTTTTTCTGTTGTTGCCCATTTATGGATTTGGGTAGACAAAGAATAGATGCATTATTTTTTCATCCCTTTTTTGTAGTTTTCTCTCTCTATTTGTAAAATTGAATTCTGATTGTAACATGGGTAGTGGGTTTTTCTTTTTTCTGTTGTTGCCCAATTATGGATTTGGGTAGACAAACAATCCAGTAGAATCTATTTTTTCCAGTCTGATTGGTGAGTCATTTGTAGCTAATTCAAATTTGACAGGTATACCTACCTGTGTTTCAATTGTGAGAGAGCTTTATGTATGGCAAAATCTAGTTTCTGTGGTAATTCAATTCTGATATGTATAAATATTTGTGTGTGCAATTGTGAAGGAGCTTTATTGCTTACACAATCTGGGTTTCTGTTGTAATTCAATTCTGACGTGCATCAGTGTGTGTGTGTGTGTTCAATTGTGAGAGAGCTTTATTGCTTGCACAATCTGGTTTCTGTGGTAATTGAATTCTGACATGAATACATGTGTGAGAGCTTAATGTGGTTTCTGTTAAAAAGGAATAAAAGCGCCAATTTCCATTGACTGATCTTCATATGCAGTAGACTCGTGCATCTCACCATTTGGATCAATCGTTTTGTTAGTTTACTATTGGAGATTCAATGGATTTTCAAATTTATGGTTTTTTTTTTTTTTTTGCTAAACAGTTTTAAATCTGTCTGCCGCTGTGTCAATATTCTGTTGGGTTGATGATGATCATCTGTGAATCATTTTGATAGTTGACTTACTTTGCATGATGTTGATTATTGATGCTTTGTCAGTCATTATCTTTTACATAAAATGTTGGTTGTAACTTGCTTCAATGCAAAGTGACATATTCCTCTGATAGATGTCACAGATATTGTGCATCTCCTTTAGGTAATTAAATTCTGACATTGTACAAGTCTTTGATTTTGAGAAAGCTTTGTTGTTTGCACAATCTATTTCTGTTGTAATTCAATTCTGATATGTATATGTGTGACTGTGAGAGAGCTTTATTGCTTGCACAATCTGGCTTATATTGTTATTCAATTCTGACATGTATACATGTGTGTTTGATTGTGAGATAGGTTTGTTGCTTGCACGACTTGGTTTCTATGATAACGAATCAAAGATCCAATCACCGTGGATTGATTTTCATACGCATTACACTCATGCATCCCACCATTTCAATCCATTATTTTGTCTGTGGACTATTGGAGATTCAGTAGGTTTTCAAATTTATCTTTTCATCTGCTAAACTGTTTTAAAAGCTGCCTGGCACCGCATCTGTATTCTGTTGGTGGTATGGGTGGAGTAGCATCCACTGTGGATAAGACACTAAATTATGAACTCCCAAGACTTATTGTGCATGATGCTGATTATTGATGTTATGATAGTCATTATCTTTTATATAAAATGGTGGTTGTAATTTGCTTCAATGCAAAGTTGCATATTCCTCAAGTAGATGTCACATATATTGTGAGTTTCTTTTGGGATTTTATGTGGTGTTTTTTTGGGTCAATTGGGGTTTCAACAATTTATATGCATTGTGAATCCCAAATTACTTCATTAATTGTGTTTTCATTGCTTATCAATTAGTAATTGGACATACTTGTATTCATCCATATAAATTTAGAATATTCAATGATTAATGTCAGGGACTATACTTGTGGCCTAAGTTTTATAGCTACGTCTTTGCATGGATCCTCCGGCAACTGATGCGGAAGTCAAACCAGAGACACTTGAAGAAATTATAGAAGGAGCTCCATTGTATCATTGTGATCTTTTTGATATCGAAATAGTGCACAAAATTGCAGAAGCATTCCTTCCAGGATTAGCTTCAGCCTGTGTAGACAACACAACAGGTGGTCTGTTAAAGAGCCCCACTTCAGTGGCTGTTGATATGAGAAGAGAAATGGTGCAGTATCTTACCCAGAGAAGTGAAACCTTCATAGCAGAATCTGTTGTCTTAGACAGTGGTCCTGATGCGGAAGTGTCTGACCATCCTTATGATATAGTATCCGATTTCATTGATGATTTTGCTGCTTCAAAGAGGAACTTCTTCAGTCGGGTTTCAGGGTGGCTTCTAAGTGAAAGGAGAGAAGACAGAATAGATGATTTTGTACAAGAGATGGAAATAAATGGGTTTTGGTTGATACAGCGGAGGGAAGGCGTTGCCCAAACTCTGCTTAAGAATGTTGATTTCAAGAACGCATTTCACTGCAATATGAAATTTAACGCAGCAGAAGAGCTCGCTGAGCATATTCCACATTGCAGTTTTAGAACTATAAACTGCCCAAATGAGGGTTGTAATGCCAGATTTAGTTCAGTTCACTTGGAGTATCATGATTCAATCTGTCCCTTAAAGATACTTCCATGTGAGCAGAAGTGCTCAGATAGCATCATGAGGCGCGAGATGGACAAGCATTGCATAACTATTTGTCCAATGAAGCTCATGAACTGCCCTTTTTATCCAGTGGGTTGTCAATCTACAATTCCTCAGTGTACAGTTGAACAACATCGGTTGGAAAATCTCCATTCTCACCTGCTCTATATTCTTCAAGTTGTTCACAAGAGAGCGTCTGTGGAGGATCTGAAACTAAGGGTGGACCAACTAGAAAAGGTTAGTCCTCAAGAGCTGTTTGTTTAGTTTCCAATGTTACAAGTTAGATGTTTTCAGTGTCATCATCTTCAAATGAAAATAGTATGTGACGATATGTAATCATCAGAAAAGGACTTTTCTGTCACGGCACATGCATAAACTCTCCAAGTTGAAAATAACAGGAAGAGCTGTCCGCATGCTCAACGGAAGAGTAGAATTTACCTAAATATTCTTGATTCTATGTTCTCTTCATTTGCACTTTGCTAATCCTCTGCTCAGTTCCTAAAAATGTGGAGGATGAAAACATTAACTTTGGAATCCAAAAACCTTTCAGAGTTGATGAGGAAATGGATTATGCATTGTAAAAATGGAGAAAAAGGATCTAGAAGCTTGAGTGTTTGAAAGTTTTGGCCATCAAGAAATCATTATGACCTCAGTCCGTTTTCTTTCCCATGCGAGCTCCTACTTTTAATGGGAAATCTACAGAGTTTGTGTTATGGTTCCATTTATAGACGTCCCCGACTTGACTGTTAGTAACATGATAACATCTAAAAAAGTGCAGACCGGTTTTCTTAATTTTCTTTTTGCAACAGTCTTCATCTCCTCAACAACTAGCGGAAGCTCGGGATGTAAGATCATTAACCTTTGTGATCAAGAATCTTGAACCAAAACTTGGGCCACTAGAAGTCGACACCAAGAAAAAAGCCAGTGAACCAGACAAAGAGGAAGAGTCAACAGGGTCACCTGCCAGAACTGAAGGGTGTTCAGTCTCACCCGCCAAAGGAGAAGAATGCTCAGAACCACCCACCAAAGAAGAAGAGTGCATAGAATCACCACACAAAACGGAAGAGTGCACAAAGTTACCCACCAAAGAGGAAGAATGTGTGGAGATACCCTCCAGCAAAGAAGAATGCATAGAACCCCTCACCAAAGAAGAAGAGTGCACTAAGTCGCCTTCCAAAATAGTTGTTAGAGATTCACCTCCGATCAAAGAAGAGTGCACAAACTCACCGTCCAATCCAGGGAAGCTCATGGAGGTAGAAATCTGAATCAGACATGTCAATTATACTGTGGGATAAATGCATTCAAGAAAAGTGAGCTTTCTATTGGCAAAGACTAATCGAATACAATTTCCTCTCCACCTTATACATCAGTGGACCTCATGGTCTAAGATTTTTGGATTTTCCTCTTTTTGCACCAACTGGGGTTTCTTTTCTCTTTCATCCATTTTAACTTCATCAGTATATGGAAGTTCATGCTCACTTCTTTTTCTAGGTTCGCATTGTTTGCACATTAGATGAATTCAATGAGTGGATTATATTTTCTTGCTCGTAGTCATTTCCCTTCTGCAAACATTCTTCCGCTCATTGTTGTTGAAGGCTGATATATTACTGTGGCATTGTATGACAATCAACTATGTGATTAGAATCTTCCAGATACTACTAAATGTTCTCTCTGGCTCTGTTTGTTGGCATATTCTGCCTTTACTAGAAGGATTGTTGTAGATTCAGGTTGATTGGACTTCACAGATGAACCAGCTTGTGAGGTTCTGAACTAACTTGGGTCTTGGATTGCAGAAATTCAAAAAATTAGAAGAAATAAAATGAAGGCTTGGCTACATGATGATGATGTTAGCTTTATGCACAAGTTGGATGGTAATTGCCAATGCCAAGTACCACTCAGATGTTTCCCTGGAAATAAATTAAGGGGAACTCTGGTAGGTTTTTTATCCTTTTCTTCCGCTTCGGTCAAGATAGTTCATTTGAGGAAATTTCATGCAGAAAAAAAAGAAAATCTTTGCAATTGAGTGCCCATACATAAAATAAAACCAATTAAATGTTACTAATGCTGCAGCAGAATAAACCAAACAAAGATTAAGAAATAAAAAGAAGCCTTCAGTATGTGATATCAGTATATAAAGTTCATTTCTCTCTTAAGACCAATCAAAACCTTTTGAAACTTATTGATTTAGGGACTTCACCGCTAACGAGCATCGATAAACTGTCAAAAGCAATCAATCAAAGCGATTTCCTTTTTTGTTGTATATAATCTGTCTCGGATCCTCCCCAGTCTATTGCTATGTTTTCATTCTAACCCTATTAAAAAAAAATTCTTTCATTTCAAAAAAGGCAATATAGATGAAGTAAACTCAATATCTACGTGGGTCAAGGTACAAGATTCCTTAAAAAAATGCTTCATCCAAAACTCTCGGGTCGGATGGATCAAATGCATAATCCATAGGGATCTTGAGTATTCTTCTTCCTGCTGCCCTTTTTATCGTGATTGCAAACAAGATACCAAAATGTCTACAAAAGAGAGGTTTCATAGACTTCTAGGGGAGGTTATTGATGATCCCTACCTTATTGACCGCAAGTTTTGTATCTCTTCATTGCTATTGCTCCCGTAGATATTGAAGGTACTCGTGAATCTGTTTTTAGATTTATTCTTTATGAATCATCAATTGCTGCAATGTTATTTTGACCCATCACCTCAACCAGGAAGGAACCATGTAAACCAATTATACAATTATTCTGAACTGTGAGAAGTTACCAATTGGTATTGGGCACGACAAGGAGCAAACATTCCATAAAGAAAACCATCTCTTTCTTAAGAGAATTTGCTAAATATGGTTCCATTACGTAATAGAGTCCAAGAGGGACTTGGACAGTTACCCCATTACGAGTTGATGCTAGATAAAAGGCATGCATCATTTGTATGCTTCCTTTCGTGTAAAGTGATCCCACCTATCAAAGTTCAGTTCAAAATTCTCCCTTTGAGACCAACATGAAAGAACTGAAGGTTTACATAAAAAACAGCCTGCACAGTTAAACGGAGCCATAAAGCCACACTTCAAGTTTGAGTTCTGCAACAAATTTATCAAAACCAGAAGCATAGTAACACATTAGAGCTGAAACCAATTAAGTCACCAAGTCCTGGAAGATCAGAGCTAAAAGCTACACTTGAGTCCCGTGCTTTTTAGCGCGACTCTTAAAGCTTACAGACAAGCATCACAAACTCGCGCTGAATTATAGTAAAAAGAAAACCCACCAAATAAAAGGATTTATGACCTCGAAAAACAATAAATAACCGTCCATATGGCAGAGTATTATGTCAAAAACAACACAACAGATTTCTAGTTTACCAGAGTCAAAATCTCTGAACTAACGGTTACCAAATAATATAAATAGAAGGCTCTAATTTTCTCCTTGATCGGATCCTTAAGTGTGTGTCTATTGTCTCCCTTGCTAAGTGCGTACTCCCCTATTGAGATTGACCATGCGGACTGAAGAATCCATCTGGTTCCCCCTCACTGTAGAACCAGACTGATAACGTGTGGTCTGATAACCTGCAGAATATCCTCCTCGTGACTGACCTGCCCGGTCCCTTGAAAAGCCACCCCCAGAGACTTGGCCAGGAGCAAAATGTCTCCCACCACCACCAACATATCCTGATCGCCCACCACTACTGCCTTGCCTTCCCTGTGAGAAAGAAAACTCTTGCCATTTATTACCAGCAGCTGCAGCAGCGTAGTCCTGACCATCCCTACGTCTTGGGGGAAGACCATCCAATCCACCACCACCACCAATCCTTGCCTCTGTTGCTCTCTCGTTACTTTCTGCAAGGATAGTCAGCTTCTCAGTCAACTGAAATGCTAGAGCCTGCAATCTCGTGTACTCAACGTCATGGAAGACCATGCACCGGGTTGGTTGGTCCCAACTTGCATGGAGCTCCTCAGTGATCATCATTTTGCTCACAATGCTGTGGGTCTGCATATCCGACAGACCAAACATCTTGGCAAGCTGGTCCAAGCTCAGAGAATCATACGATGATGAATATGTGAAAAGGAATGTCCTTAGAGCCTCTTCCTTAATCTTGGCCTTCAGCATTTCGAGAACATTATCTCGGTCCCGGAGTAGCCTCCAGAAATCAAGGGACTTGATAACATCGAAGGCCTTCTGGAAGTCTCCCATTTTTAGAGCCCTGGTGGCTGCCATTACGTGGTCCCTAACATTCTCAGGGGGACCAGTGAATGTTTGCCTCTCACTCACTTCGAGCAATCGACGAAAGGTTTTACTAATGACCTTCCGCCTTGCATCATGGCTGTTGGCTGCCATGTTGGGAACCTCAAGCAGCATGGCACATATAAGATGGACAGCCTCCAGAAGCTCAAGATTTATGTGCATATGGTATGGCATTTGCCGTCTCCTCTCCAGCCGTTCCTGGCAAAATCAATTATTTACAATGGCAAAACTTTGATGAAAACATGTAATGAAGACACTACAGAAATGTTAAGCCAGCAAAATACCAAGTATAAAAGACACCAAAAGAGTGTCATGCATCATCTCTATGCAAACAATAACACAACTACGTTTATATTGAACTCAATGGCACCCAAAAAAAAAGAGAAAAATGTTCGACGAAGATTCCATAATTGACACTCTTAGAGATTCCAGTTTGGCCAGACAATACAGAATCATGCTATCCAAGAGATAGATTACATAAGCAAAGCATTCTACATAGATTGTCAATATCACTCCACAAACTTAGTTACAGTCTGCTCTCTTCCTCTCTTCACAGCACAAGCAGCTTTTACACCAACTTCTTGAAACAGACAACTCTATAAAGGTCAGATAAGCATGTCTTTATTAAGAATGAAAATTAGACAACAAGAAAATTTTGATTTGAAAAACAAGTCTCAGTATGTAACTTCTTCTCCAGAGTTCAATTGTAGATAAATAAAAACAAGTCAGGGTAAATCTCAGTGTAAGTTTTGCAAACTTGGTCTTAGCAAAAGTCTTACAATTAAGTATGCGGGAAGATCTCAGTATTTATAAGTCGTATGATCCACAGTAGATGTGTTCACTGGGGAGAGCAATATCATATTGGATGGACTGTTTTGGGATATCTAGAATGTTGAAGGATTTGAAACTTTGAGGCAGTGATGGCTTTCGTTGAGCGTTCTTATAGCTACAATGCACTACGATCATAACACCCATCTTTCAAGCTTCTAAGTTTTTAGATATTAACTTCAGTTGCCAGCTCTACTAGGTGGTGACCAAGCAATTTATAGGTAGAAGGGCTTTGTAAGATATAAACAAGGATAGAAACCAATGATCTTAAATTTTGAACAATGAAGATGGAAGAACAAAATCTCTTGAATTAGGTGTACTACCTTTCTTGATACTAGATCACAACAGCCAATCTGCAAGAAAATGTCAGATATTTTAAGAAGGGTGTATCATAATTTAACAAACACGGTCCCACTTGCTTGGTGAAATAATATTAATTTACCAAAATTCCAACACGTTACTTCAGCAATACCAACTCAAATTTCTAGTAGTTTATGTCTTACAATAGAGGAATTCGTTTTATTGCCATTTGACTTCCTACATATGACTTATAATTACGGAGGACAATTTATACCAATTTCAGTTCCTATATATGCATTATGCCTTATACTAATGGGACATTTTACTGCCCACTTCCTGCTACTGTTGAATGTACCAAATGCCTTAGTCTTGTTCAAGCTGGAAACAATGTTGCATTAAAAGCTCCTTAACATTCCTCACAACAACCATTAATTTCAGTTTTGCACGCAATTGGAAGGGAAGGAAACATTACAGAAAAATGACACCCCAGCCCCCAAAAGAATTAAAAGAAAGAAAATCCAACAGAAAAAATGCATTCTCTTAACATATAGGAAGTAAGCTTCCACAAGTACCATATATCTAACCATAATTATTTCAAAGCATTACAGCTATCTTTCCGGAAGTAGACACAGAATGTCAAACAGTGAATATTAGCAAAATCCCAGGTACAGAGGCATGACCAAAAACAAAAGCATCAGATCAGACGAAGAACACTACCTGCTCTGGAGTCTTCTCATGATAACGGCTTTGGGAGACACCCTGTGCAAGTAATTCCTTCACCCTCCCACCGGAATATAGTTCAGAAAGGCAACCGTGTCCTTCAGTAATAAGTCCCGCCCTAAATGCACATAAACCAAGCTGTGCCATAGCCCTGTTAAACAGTATTTGTGTTGAAATGTCCATGTGCTGAATACTATCCTGCAGGTGACTCATTAGCAACAAGTCACGAGATGTTGAAAATTCATCAAATATAGCATGGTGATATATATCACAAAGCATTGCACGGGCCTTAGTACGTTCATCACCGTGCCTGTATATGAGGGAAACTAGGATATCCATCATTGCCCTGCTGTTCTCTGGAAAGGTAGGTTTTCGAGGCACAAGCTCAGGATTTACAACAAACGCTGGGGGTCCCCTAGTTTCCTCAGCTACTTTGGGTTCCACCCCAGATTCTGTTTCTCCCTCTCCGTCATCTGTTTGTTCAGCCAGCTTCCTCATAGCATCATATACCTCCTGCGGTTTATAATAGATAAGTTCAACCCGCTTAAGTGCAACCTTTGAAGCAGCCTTAAAATTCCCAACTCGCTCTAGATATTCCTGGACGTTTTGAGCAAGAACCAGGAACATGGGCTCATCTCTAAGCCTCTCAACATATTCACGAGTATGTGGGTCAATGCACTGCAAGCTCTTAAAAAACTCCACATCTATTCTTTCAAGAAAGGCTGCTAAATTTCCCCAAATCTGAATCGTACCCTTGAAGTCCGCTCCTTTTTGAGTTTCATTCTCATCAGGCTCCACCCTGTCATCAGCCACAACCACAATGTTTGGATACTGGGTGAGGATATCCAGTATAACAAGCATATTCTGCACACACTTCTTCCACACGTTTATGGGCATATGCCCGCTAAGACTTGGATTGACATCAAACTGTGCAGACACAACACTGAAAAAAATCTCAAGCTTCTGAGCAGGGGTCTTAGCTACCCTGGTTAAGAACGTGAGCTGCTCAACTAGCTCAATCCTTCCTGTCCCTTTCCTACCCCGTGCAGCAACAATCTCTTTGAACTTCTTGTTAACTGTATCCCATGTGATCTGACTCGGGTCCTTGAATTGTTTGTCCATGAGCTTATCTTTCTTGCTCATCTTCTTCTCCCAACCACTACCAGGTTCAGCTGCATCATCCCTGTCTTCTTCCTCATCCTCATCCTCCTCCCCAGAGTCTGATCCCATTGCAATCTTCGACGGGTCCTCCTCAAACTCTGAATCCTCTTCCTCTTCCTCCTCTGACTGCTCATCTGCATCTCCATCATCCTCGCTCTCAGGATTTTCTCTGTGCTTATTTATCAACTCCTCATACTGCTTGTTGTTTTTCTTTAATTTTTGTTTCATCGAATTCAGGGCCTTGGCATTACTACTACTCATCTTCTTCTTAGCCTCCTTATTGGCTAAAGCCTGATTTAAGAAGTCCTCCAACATCACCAGAGCCTTAATGTAAAGATTCGGGACCTTATCTGATTCCATAACCCTCATGACTTTCTCAAGCTGCTTATTGATCTTGTCAAAGCTCTCTTGCAGACTGACCCAGTCATTGATCTTCATTGCATTCTTCATCTGATCGATAGTAGCAGACATCTCCTCAAAGCGCTTGTCCTTTGCAGATCTGACAACACGCTTTTGCCCATCAGAGTCATCGCTGTCACTATCATTTGTTTGAAGATATCTGCTACTATCACCAGGGGCCGAAGGCTCCCCTGGCGTGGTATCTTCCTGCTCATAATCACTTTGCTCCTCCTCCTCCTCGGTGTCACTACCCCCCTACCAACCAAAAGGTATAAGTATAATTACCAATCAATAAAATAGCACAAATTGGTCAAAGTTTCAACTAACTATAGAATGTGGGTAACAAATCATACAAACCTGATCCCAAAATCGTGATGCCATTATCCCGTGCAAGTTCTAAATACCAAGTCTAAAATCTCAATGAACTGCACAAAAAAACAAGGAAGAGGAGAAGAAGGGTCATACAACTAACATTTAAAAGCAAAAACAAAAAAGAATTTGAAAGTGACAATAACTTTGCAACAATGATCAAAGTACAGGGCATACAAAAAACAATAAAATAAAGCATGACATCTTCATTAGTGCCATAGGAATTTCACGGGAAAAAAATTAAAGTCCCTGATAGCTCAAACAACTGAAAATTCTGTACAAAGGTCCCAAACCTAAACCGTCTGATGTGTTGCTGAGATAAATAGCAAAACTAATATAGAATAGAGTTCATATTAATATATTCCACAGGTGCTCTGTACTGACAAAAAAAAAAAGAAAACCCCTATACAAACACATACGCTGAAACACGAGCACAAATCTAAACGTACGTAAGTTTCTCCAATCAAAAACAAAACCTTTCCCTTATCACACTATATTTAGGATTCATATAACAAATAAATCTGAATTACATAAAATCGAACCTGAACTTTATTATACACAAATATGCCGATAGAGGGAGAGAGAGAGAGAGAGATCGAACCTGAAACTCAGACGGCACAACGGAACAGTAGCTGTGAACTAGAGAGAGGGAGAGGGTTTCAAAGATGATGCCCTAGAACTCTATCTCTTTCATATACATGACTACCTGGAACCGTTAGATAAGAAGTCGGTGGGCTAGATGAAACCCATTTATTTAAGGATTTTAGATTAGGTTGGCCCTATAGAAGAAAAAGCCCAGCCTTTATGATTGTTGGGTTGGCCCTAAGGCTCAAAAAACAAAATGGTTGGTGTTTGGGTTGGATTAGGGCATTGCAGTCCTAAACAATGAAGTGTATGTCCCACCGAGATCACCAAACGAGAATTTAGTAATTGACCTAACGAAAACTGTCCCGCCGTTGACTTTAATGGCCGTGGGTTCGAATTTCGTTGCCTTATACTAATCTGAGTAGTGTTGTTTAATCATAAAACAAGTCAAAACTCGAGTTATGCTCAAACATAAGCTCTTGTTCAGCTCATTCAAATAGCTAAGCCAAGCCTAAGTTTTAAAAAAAATAAATAAATTAGATAATCTTGAAAAAAATGTTTGAAAACTTGTCAAAATCGCCACAATGGCAAATCATCCCAAGCACTATTTGCAAATGGGTTCGTGCGACAGTCCGTTAATTATTCAAACTCCACATATTGAACTTGATAGTCGTGATCGTATTTGTCAGGGGTATGTTAGACATTTTATTTCAATATAGACTTTTAGTCAAAAGGTTTCTTGTTATGGAGAAAATATTGGGTGTAACGGTCTAATGATAAGATAACACATGAGAAGATGGATCCTACATATTTAAATATCTACTCATTCATGTTATGCAATAACTACTTAATGTAGGATCTATCTGTCCACATGTTAGTTCATCATTGGACTGTTACACCATATCAACATAATGACATAGTGTAACAATTATACCCAATACTTTTTCTCCATCGTGGACTTCTAACCCTATAAGTATTGCAAGATATAATGGCTTCTCAAAAACCCCTTTAGTAATGCTAAATAGCCAAGTCCATTTCACTAGCCTTAAATCCAAGACGAGCCAACTTAATAGTATGTTCAGACTTGAGTTGACTATTTCTCGAGCTCGAAAATTGATAATTAGAGCTCGAGTGAATTTAGCATATCTTCTGAGAAACAATGATGACTAATTTTTAAGAGGTGTGTGAAATATTAAACTTGGACCGTTTAGAGCCCTCAAATAAATGGATTGATACGAACTCAATTAAACATCATTCGTACACAACACAAACTTGGTTATATTTGAGTATAAGTGGGTCGGGTAAAAGTTAAACAAAATTTAATACTACACAATTTAAACATAACACAAACCGATACGATTAATAGTCTTACCTATGATGTTCAAGTGGGTCTTGTACCCTCTGCAAAACGGACGAGTCCTTCGTTACTAGACTCCACTTACATTATCAAGACATGGATTTGAACTTTGGTGTATAGATAATTTTGATCAATGGAACCACAAACCATTCATATTGGCTAATTACTAACTAGGTGAGGGCTGTGGAATCGATAAAATACTCACACACGGTGTATTGATAATTGAACATGCTACATTATAACCATTCTCTATGGCTAGTAACATGTAAATGTGAAAATAAATAATTTTTCCAAGATTAAAAAAATAATGGCAAAACAAAATTTGCCAATGTAGAGAAGTGCTCTCCAATTGCTGTGAAGATGATTGGCTCTTGAGTAAGTCTGTCAATAGATCGGATTTTTATTCGAATTTGACATGATTCTAAATTTGATTAGTCGGATATGAATTGATATTTTTGTCATCAATAATTCGAATCCAAATTTAAATCTTTTCACATATTCAAATTTGGATATATCTATATTCAATCTGAAATATGTATATATTTCTATGTAAAATATTAAAATAATTAAGTGATTATTTGAAGGAATTTAGTTAAAATTTAGATGTAATGTGTTAAATTTAGTTAAATTAAGTTATTTGAATTAGATTGAATCAAATCGTATTTTCGATTGTTAAAAACTTTGAATATGAACTGCAAAAATAAAATACATTATCATAGTGTTTAGCCAGATACGTATTATTATGTGTAATTCATGTTTAACAGAGTTTGTACCCACCGAATTAATTAACAGATCTAACAGGTTCAACTGTGTACACGCCAAACTCACTAATATTAAAGTAAAACTCAATAATTCCGATCATTTTCACAACAGATTTACGGATCGTGTAATTAATCATCAAACCTATCTATTACAACTATCTTTTTTCACAATAATACAATTGATGCATAACAATCTAACTATGTTGACATCATCATCTAACCTAATAAGAATATTCTAGAACATAAATTAAAAATTACAGTAAAGACGAAATAAAGTTTAAAAATTACCATAAATTAGAAATTAAATTCCCCTTATTTTCCACAATGCTCTTTCCGGGTAATATTTGAACTTGGACGGCAAGAATTGACTTGAAAACGTAAAAATGGTAAGAACAAGGCATAGACCTTTATTTTCCACAACATTCTTTCCCACGTAATAATCACTTTTGACACAAGAAACTATTAGAACCAAATTCGACGCTTTTGTTTAGTGGGTCCAACTCCGAAAATACTATGCATATAAAATTTTATTTTATTTTATTAGTTTTGAAATTCAATAATTACTAAAAAAATTAAAATAAAATTTTTAATTTGATTTTTTTTAATATGGTGCAAATTTTTTTGTGATATACCATCATCAGCTTTGGAGTATGATCGCTATTAAATAGAAGTTTGACCTGAATTCGACTTTAAATTTAAAATAGTTTATTTGGATATGAATTAATATTTTTTATTCTCAATCAAAATTAGAATTTCTTACATCATGTTTTTCGGATTTAGATTTACTTACACTAATATTTTATTATACTATGATCCAATTCGAATAATATATGTTACATAGATATATAGTATAATTTTATAAACGTTTGAGAGAATTTATTTCAAATTAGATATAATTTACTCAAATTCAACAAAGGTATTTAGATTTGTTTTAAATTTTTGGATTCAATTTATCATTCTTAATTGTTTCGAATATGAATCATTCTAACAAAATGAGTCAGACATTCAAATCAAATTTAAGTCAATATATTTAAATCCGACTTCAACTAAGAACGTCGATTGTACCCTGACTTGAATTTGATTCATGGACAAAGTCGTTTGGAGAATTTAAAGGGTCATTTACTATGTGGAGTGGGGCCTTATTCCATAATTCGAAACTTTATTGATAGAATGAGATTGTTTTACTAGTAGGTTTGAAACTTTTTCCTCAAGGCTTTTTTTAACACTTTTGAATGAAACGGAGCAATTTTTAATTAAAAATAAAATCAGGGGCCCAAATTCAAAATTGTCGGTTCTTTCTTTGCAAGCGCGTTGAAAGGTAAGGTCGTCGGTTTGGGTAATTAATGAGATTTATTGGATTTCGTCGGAAGCTTTGTCACCTACGACTAAACGTACAGCTGGGGTCCTGTACTTCAGATCCACCTTTTTCTCACGTCCAACATTGTCTAGTCTACACGAGTCTTCTGTGTGATTGTGTGTCTATGCTACGGAAGGGAAAAAAGAAAGGAGGGTAGGGGGTTTGTTTAGAAAATTGGTGGCAGTGACATTATTGACCGAAACGACATTGTTTTTGTTTAATATTAAATTTAGAAAAAAATAATAAAAAATATTTTTCTATTTGTAAAACGTTTAAACGAGTTATTTGTATTTTATACAAATTCGATCAATTATTTTTTGTGTTAATTAATTATATTATTTTCGAATTTATATCATATGGGTTCTTGTTTTATTCATGTTAACGTGCAAAACCAACATGCTACGAGAAAAAAAAAACTGTTTTTAAATTTTTATTACGAGGAAAATTTCACTTATTATCGACTATGATACAGGGTTATTGTGTTATTTCACTCCATTTTATTATTTTTCATAACTAAGGATTCCAATATTAAAGGAATGTGTAATAATATTTGATTTGAAACCTTTTTTTTGGGATATCATGATCTTTTTTGATCTTTAAAAGGATGATTATGGTAACGAAGATTTATAGCGGAGGTATTGTTGATTAAAATGACGTTATTTTGTTTGATAGAACGACATCATTTTGTATCAAAAACGACATTATTTTAATTAACACCACTACGAAGGATCTAGACCCAAACTAGTCTCTTTTCTATTTTATAGGATCAGTTTATGGTCCTAAAACTTTTTTTTGTTTGAATTATTTTCACAAAAATTATCAGTTGGAAAATATTGATTTAAGTTAATTATAGTCATTAATTGTGAAAATATTAAAATTTATAACTTTTAAGATTAAAATAAAAAAAATTGATATGAAAGTTACTAAAGTAAAATATATAATCAACTCATTTCTCAATTTGTGCGTGTCATCTAATCGTAAGGGCAGTGCTAATATTCTCTATATCGCTATAATTTTACCGAATGTTTTCGAAGGGACTAGTCTAAAAGGATAAAAATTGTGTTGCTCAAATTTATTTATCAAATCTTATATCTCAAATGATGCGTCAAAATTCTATGCATTGAGAGCTTGTTTGATTTGTCATATTAGAAATGGATAAATTGGATAAAGTAATACAATCTAGCACAATAGAGATAGATAAAATACAAGATTAAATAGAGTATTAGAATAATGTGTAATTTTATCTAGTACTTGACAATATACAACATAAGGTTGGATAGTAGTTATTAATCCAATCGGTTATTTAGTTAAGACATTATTTCATAGTATTAATGTTAAATTAATAAAAATACTCTCAATCAGTTATGAACAGTGTTATCAGAATCGGACCGGTTCAATCGTGAACCGGGACCCTAACCGATCCAATTCCTTAGTTGAACCGCTTAAGGAAGCAAACCAGCTAGAAATTGAAAAATCGGCCAATTTTTAACAAAAATTGTGAACCGCCAGTTTTATAAAAATCGGACGATTTAATGCCTATTTAAAAATTAAATTACATAAATAAATTTTTTTCCCATAAATCAGTAAATAGTTGATTTTTTTTAACCTTATTATTGGATAAATTATAAATGAC